TTGTCTGACCCCTCTCCATATGAACTTCCTCAACCTATATGTTGCAAATATCCAATATATTCCATCAATGTCATAACGTACACGCTTTCCTTCCTTTTACACAATTACTCACACTCATAACATTCGCACAATTAATCCCAATCCATGCTTTTACTACATAGTTGCTTGTCTAATATGTCCACTCTTTTACCCCTCTCTTCTCAACATCTACGAATTCCCCTTTGCATTCTCTCCAACCTTAGCTATTTTTATGACGTCCATATTCTCGGCACTGCACAAGTAGCTTGCAGTAAAGACCTGTTTTGAATTTTGTCTGGGGCGGGTTCTTTTCGAGTGTTCGTTTCAACCTTACCCAACAAGTGAGAATGTTTGGTAAACCTAATGCCCACTTTCACGTGATAAATTGAATTGTCGTCATCACTGCTGCACTGTAAAAGCGAATACATATCTGGTTGATTTAAAGATTTCCATTTTGGATAGGCACGTCCTTTTTTTAATGTAAAGAGTAGAGTCTATTAATGACGTAATCCAGAGAAATCCAAATGACAGACACTTGTTAACGAATGCGGTTAGGAGCGAGGCGTACGAAGATTGTTATTCATTACAGCCACACGCACCTATTACCACACGCGTTGTGGGAAAGGCGGTGGAAAGGACTTTGTTCCCTTTTCAAGTAGTATTTCATTTTTGATACTACGTGTTGCGTAGATGTAAAAGACATTGAAGATTGTTAATGTTAATGCATTACACTAACACCTACATGCAATACGCTTTTACCCATACAGCAACGTGTTCACGACTTTGCCAACATTACTATTCCTCTGTCTAGAGAATTGGTAATAGTAATGCAATACAGTAATGCAACATTCGGCTGTTTAGGTAGCAACAATCAACACGGAAGGGACTTGTTATAGGTTCTCCTCTATTGCATTGATGTGGCTCACCATTTAGCATTCTAACGATGAAACATTACTGTTATTTGATTGGCAGGTGTTTGAGCCTAACCGCATCAATACTTGTTCATTGAAAGGGCAGGCAGAAGAAACAGATTACATAATTGAAGGAGCAATTGCAAGTTGTTTAGAAACAGATGTGCACGTAATAGGAGCACTGCAGCTGTGGAAGGATTCGCCATTGTCTTGGAATTGTGGCTATATCCCAAGAGTTCCGACTACGACCCGATTTTATAAACACTTGCTCTGTGATGTGGATAATCTAATTGATTATCTTTATCGATATGAACGCTATTATTAATTATAATGATATTATTATTGATATTGTTGGATTACAATATTCAAATAATCGTAAATACATTGTAATCGAAAACGTGTTTCTATGGATACAATTCCAATGCTTTGCCTGTTAATTCCCATCCAGTCTATGAATATGTCATTTAAATTTAAAAGATTCCCCAACTCCCATTGCACCTAACCCAATAAGTAAATGCCTATATTTCTCGTGATATTTAAATACAATTGCGATTGTCTACTACTTTTGCATTGTCAGCAATCGGGGGATAAAAAATGTTTGAACAAACACACACATATTGGTGGTAATAATGATGGTAATAATGGAATAATGGCAGACAACAATAGTGATCATGATGGGTAATAATAATGATGGCGATGACGCACACAATACCAACAAAATACCACAATACCAACAATATCGACAACTTCAATTGATCGCTTAATTAATCATTTCAATGGATCAAAACGCAGCAAATTTTATTCCCCAATTTTCCATCCCTGTCGCATTTCGTCCAATTATCATCCAGACTCACCTCTCAGCCTTAATCTCTATCCAATCATTGATCCCTTTCGACGCCAAAGTTACACAACCAACCCTTGGATGCCACTCGAACAATCTCATCAACATAAATTGACCCTACCCTCATTTGTTCTTCCAAAGTCTACAGACATCACAGAACATCGAACACAGACAAACTCCATCTGTCAAGCTCAAAGCCATCCGTCCTAGCCCTTTAGTGGACCTATCGATATCAAAGGGAGCCTTCAGTCCGTCTAGTCCTAATAGGCATCCATACGTTACTTATTCATAAAACCCCCCTTCCCAAGTCACATACTGCTTAGAAGGATCGCTTAACGACCACATTGTTTATTGCTCATCTACACTGAATTTGATATACCTCCCAGCTCTCACGGTTGCCTAACTTTCTGTATCCTTATTGACTCGTAATGGCCACCGTCGAAGAAACTGCCGTGACTACTGATACCACCACCACCATAGTCGCTGAAACTACTACTACGACCGATGTCACAACAGAAGTAGTGGCCGTTCAGGAGACTGTAGTTGTTCAAGAGACTGCGGTTACTGATAGCGAGCCCGTAAAAACCGAAGAAGAAAATGAGAACAAGGTCTTTGTCGGTAATTTAGCATTCCAGACTACTGAAGCTGAATTGTCCGAGTTCTTTGGAAAAGTTGGTAAAGTGTAAGTAGAAAAAGATTTGTCCAAAGTAGAATATGTGAACGAAAGGATGATGTGATAATTTAGCGCCCTGTAAGGGTATACTTTTTGAGCGTTTATACGTCTAATTGGTATTCGTCTAAGGATAGTACTAATCAATAGATCAGACCATATTACAAGAGAATGAACTTTTTTTTTTTTTTTTACATATTATTCGGATCATTTGTCGTTTTACTCTCCTTATTCTTTCGCCTTTTATACATTCTCATACCTAATTGCCTTTTCGAAATCCTTGTCTCATACCCCGCTGCCTTTTTTTTTTCAAATCAAAAATAGCGTCAAAGCCAACATCATCACTCGTGGTACCCGCTCACTTGGTTACGGCTTCGTAGCTCTGGAAACAAAGGAAGATGCCGAAAAAGTCATCGAAGAACTCAACCGTAAAGAACTAGGGGGCCGTATGATCAACGTCGAAGCTGCGAAACCGAAAACAGACTCCGGGAATCCCCCCGCTTTTCATCCGACATCTCGTCGTGGCCGTGGGAGGTACTTACGCGGTCGGGGTAGAGGACGTGGAAGGGGTCGGGGACGTGGCAGAGGACGGGGTGGCTGGCAAGGTCGCCGTCGCTTCTCAGGTCGCAACGACGACTCTACTGCCATCACCAGTAATGATACTACTGCCGGCGTCGACGCCCCTAATACTAACGGCACTCACGCCGATGAAAGCGGCAACTATAAGAGCAACCGTGGGTATCGTTCTCGACGAGGTCGTGGAGGAGGAAGAGGTCGTGGTCGTGGCCGTTTTGGTTCTCGTCGTAGACCGGCCAATTCTTATGCAGCTGGAGCTGCTAAAACCGGTGATCCATCCAAAACTGTCGTCTTCGTTGCCAACTTGCCGTTCTCAATTAATGACGATGGATTAGGAGATATCTTCAAAGACTACCAGGTAAAGAGTGCCCATGTTGTTCGTCGTCGTGGTGGACGCAGTAAAGGTTTCGGGTTTGTTGAATTGATTGATGAGAATGAACAAAAGAACGCCCTTGAAGGGTTGAAGAATGTTCAAAGTGAAGGTAGAGAACTGGTTATCAAAGTTGCGTTGAGTGATCAACAAGCTCACGTGGACGAAGAAAAAGCTGGTGTCGAAGAGGGGGGTGAGGTTAGCGCCCCAGCCGCTAATCCTCCTGCCAACGAAGAGCCCAATAAGGAGGAAAGTGAAACTACGGCTTAATGTTATCAACAGTATTAAATTGAAAAGCAAAGTGCTGTTTATTCGGAATATATAGGATTTTATGCATTGCGATATGAATTCATTATCAAAGAGATTAAATTAGTTCTGCTATCTATTCATATGCTTCTTGTCCCCCATCCTTCTTAAAAGTTTAAATATAATATTATCTTATTTCTTTATTCCTTTCTTCCAAGTCCAGCTTTATTCTATATTTAAAACAATTGGTTGGGAATGATCGATGAAGCTAAACTATATATATTAGTATATTGTGGGTCCAATTGCTCTTTTTCAGCGGATATTAATTGTTTATATACCAAAATAAAGATGGAGACCCTATTTAAATTATAAAAGAGTGTAGAATGTTGATAAAAGAATGGCTAGATGAATAACGTTAGTGCATATTAATATTGCAGTTGTCAATAAACTATAGACAGATCTTATCATCAATTCTTTGTCGTTGTCAACCATTCAAATCCACTTTGGTCTATTGACGGGTAAACGAACTAAATCAGTATCGAACAATTCAATAAACTGTTCATTTAAAAGACGGACTTTGGGTCCAGCGTAACGACGATATTCCTCAAATATCGAAGTCAGATTCCATCGTTGTAGTTTGCGTAAACAGCCAACAATTGTTCCTATAAGAAAAGGAATGGGAGTTAAAATTGGAGAATAAAAGACACGTCTTGCGAAAATTCAATGCTAGATAGTGTAGGATAAACCTGTTCTATGTCTACCAAGATTGCACATTACGATCATTGGATGATTGCGGGGATCTAAAATCAACTCTAGCGCTTCCAAGACGACTTCCTCTGTAACCGGATCCCAGGCGTTCACCGAAGAAATAACACCAAGATATTGAGCTTGAATCTCTTGGTCGTAAATAAAATTCAGACTACAACAGGTTTTCATGTCAGTTCTAATCATCACGTCTCTTCTATCGCGGACAATTATATCATGTTTACTGCACATTCTTTTCTCCCATGGCAGCCATTACAGCGATACTTACAACCTCTCGTTCGGCTCTTCCGGTGCAAGCCAGACGACAGTCTTCAGTCCAAGCTTCTCCAAAAAAGGAAAGTTCAACTCATTCGGTTGGCCTGACCTATACAGGTCTTCTTCTATCATGCCATAGTTCTAATATATAACATGTTTATGTCCGACAAGTGAAACAAATGATGGTTTGTCAGTAAAAAATCATTCCGGACTTACCTGAGGAGGAATAAAATGTTGCGAACTCATTCAGGTAAATTGAGAAAAGCGCAAAAAGTTGTATAGCATTGCGATCTTGCCGATCTGATTATTTGATGGGCAAGCCAAGTATAGGTAGCATAACAATAACAATAATAACAAGACTCTTTAGAAATGAACGTGGTTTAGATTTTACCTATGAACATTGAACTTTGATTTTTATAATGGAATTTGATCTGTGTCTAAAAATTAGAGAATAAAACTTTACCATGTGACTCGCTTATCTGACTCGCCTTCATACAAGAACATATAAACTACGAAATTCTTATTTGAGGTATTTAATCAGAACAAAAAGTGTGATTTGGACGTGAATTTTTAATTCAAGAACGTCAGCTCCTTGAACTCTTTGATTTGAAGTTCAAGATCCTCTATTTTCCTCCAAAGCTCTCCGGCCCTATATTCATAGTTTAATGTAGTCAATCATATCAACAATATTAGTTGAAATTTCTAGTCCCTAAGTGCAACTCACGTGATTCACGTAATAAGTAATGTCATTTTAACATAAAAATCACATTATATCCATCGTGGTTGAATTTTCCTGATGCAATGACAACAAACAAGTTAAAGTATTTGTCTTTTCCAAAGGAAGATATCATTTGAGCTTTCTAAAAGTGGTGATATTATTTCTTTATTTTCAAATTTAATCTACGATCATTGTTCCCATCTCG